CTTAGACATCTCATGGGGCTTAAAGGAGATGTACAGTTGGATGTTATCTGCGTAAAGATGGTAGGAGATTCCCTTGAAGGAGCTCAGGATGTGCTGAAGAGGAAGCAGATAGAGGAGGAAGAGCAGAGGCCCCAGCACAGAACCTTGTGGGACACCATGGGTAAGAGAGGTGGTGGAGGACCTAAACTTGGAGACGGCCACAGAAAAGGAGCGCTCAGAAAGATAAGAGGAGAACCACTCCAGAGCAGATCCTGATAGGCCTACCCAGTCTCTCAGCCTCTCCAGTAGCAGGTGATGGTCAACAGTGTCAAAGGCTGCAGTCAGGTCCAGCAGGACCAGAACAGAACAGTCCCCTGCATCACTGTGAGTCAGAAGGTCATTAGAGACCCTAAGAAGAGCTGTTTCAGTAGAATGAGCTCTACGAAAACCTGACTGGAAGCTATCATAGATGTTATGTTCATCAAGAGCAGCTGTGAGTTGTTTAGCCACAAACTTTTCCAAGATCTTGGAAATGAACGGAAGTTTAGAGATGGGTCTGAAGCTGCTATGAAGAGAGGGGTCGAGACTCGGTTTTTTAAGAAGCGGGTGGATTATAGCGTTCTTAAAGTAAGCAGGGACCAGACCAGAAACCAGAGAAGCATTAATTATAGAGAGCACGCTGGGACCGATGGAATGAAAAGCACTTTTAAACAAAGATGAGGGTAAGATGTCGAGGGGGCATGCAAAGAACTCAGGCAAAGAAACAGGAGCAAAGCTGTCTAGGATGATGGGCCTGGTTGGAGTCGGGAGAGGCGGCGATAAGGCTGAAGGAGAGATGCTAGATCTAACCTTATTGACTTTGTCCACAAAGAAAGACAGAAAGTTCTCACAGTCTGCAACAGAGTGGATGGAGGCTGTAGGAGAGGCAGGAGAGACGATGCTGCTGATGGTGTTAAACAGCACCTTGGGGTTCCCTTTGCTCTGGGACACCAGGATGGAGAAATAGGAAACCCTAGCGTCTCTGACTGCAGAGTTAAAGGATGTCAGAAGATCCTTTAGGTGCAGCGGATGGATGTGGAGATGGGTTTTCTTCCACAAGCGCTCAATTTTTCTGCATTGGCGCTTCAGGCTGCGAAGGCTGTCATTAAACCAGGGAGTAGGGTTCACTGCAGGAACTGATCTGGTTCTGACAGGACAGATGTTGTCCAGAATGGAGAGGCAGTGCTCGTTAAACTGAGAAGTTAAGGAATCTGGGTTGTTATCAGAAGAACAGGGTGGATCAAAAGCAGCAGAAAAATTGCTAGCTGTGCTCTCATTAAGAAAACGAGAACTAACCATACGGCGAGCAGGAGGTGGGGACGCAGAAACTGACAAGTTGAAGAAAATGCAATGGTGATCTGAAATATAAACATCCTCAGGACAAACACTGTCAGCATTTAGACTCAGGGTAAAAACAAGGTCTAGAGTGTGCCCCCTGGTGTGTGTGGGGCCAGAAACATGCTGGGTAAAGCCGAAGGAGTCCATAAGGCTGGAGAAATTCATGGCAAACTGATCAGAGGGATCATCAACGTGGATTAGGGCTGGGCGATATGACGATTTTAGACAGTTTTACGATCTACACATCTGACGGTCTGTCATTTTTGAGAGACCGTTTTATCACGATTCACAGCTCTCTGTTGAATTTCTGCCTCTGAATTAAAAGGGAACTTACCTCAGGCGAATGACATGCCTTTGTTTGACCCTTAACCAATCAGAGTGAGTCATAGTAATATATTAGTGCCCCGCTTGTTTTCATTTGTGTGTGAACAAACATGGCTTTGCCGCGGCTGAGCGACAACGAGGTTTTTGTTCCGAAGAGGAACGCAGGGTTTCCTTAGCGCGCGGCGCTAACAACTTAGCGACATGACATGTCTCGGAGAAAGCGTAAAAACACGTTGGACGCTTCTTCTGAAGCAGGAAAATAACACCGCTTCTTAAGCAGAGCACGACGTCACCTCGGCTCGTTCACCCTCTGCCGAGCCGGTGTCGGTACCGGACTGAGCTCGGTCACTGGGTCAATGGAGCTGCCCCGTGACTGCCTGATGGAAAACCAGCGGGTTTCATCAGACTCGTAGTTTCTTGTTTTTGCTGTATTTTGCCGCTCCCTCCTGCAGTCTTCCCCTATTAACATTTAAAATGATTCTGTAAACTCCGTGTATCAATAGAAATGATCTCTGCCTCTGCCAGCTGCAGTAAATGTAGTCTCCAAATAATAAGAGGTGCATTCATCTGTGTATCTCCTTTGATCCACATTAGTGATATTTTCAGCACCAGAATAGTGAAGCAAAGAAAGATTCCTGAGTTTGTTAGTAATTTTATATATTAGGTGCATCTGACCTGTTCTATTTTTCTCTGAAATGAGATCAAATCAGTGCTTCTATGGGTTGTCTCCAATCTGCACTGGAAAATTTTACTTTATTTAGAGACTTGTTGCAGAAAATATTCAGAATGCGCAGTTATTTGCTACCACAAGCGATCTCTGGTCCAGCCGCACATCAGAGCCATATTTGAGCTTAACTATCCACTACATGAGCAACTGGGAGCTACATAGTATTTTGAACAAGTTAATGTTTGCACAATACGTTTGCAATTGACATGTTTGCACTTTAAATATGTTTACGATTTTAATTTATGTTAAGTTACTTGAAAAACGAGAAAAACTGATTTTTGTAATTGTTTCCCTCAGGGCTTTTATCATCTCTGGTGTGAGTTTAAAATATAAGCGTGTTAGCACTGTGCTGATTATCCCTAATATGAATAAATGTTTATTTATTCAATGTTTCTCTTCTTTAATACGCAATTGAAGTTATGCTATTCATGGATAAAAAATCGTGATAAAATCAAAATCGTGATAAAATATTGGAAAAATCGTGATATTCTATTTTTGCCATATCGCCCAGCCCTAACGTGGATGTTAAAGTCACCAAACAATCACCAGTCTGGACAGCTTCACAGTGGAGGATAGAAAGTCACTAAACTCCTGAAGGAAAGAACTGTTTGGACCAGGTGGACGATAGACCACAGCACAGTAGAACGGGTCCTTACGCCCGACTTTAATCAGCTGCAGTTCAAAGGAAGCAAAGTGACCAGAGGTTGTAGAGCTACATGGAAGATGGTCTCTGAAAACAACAGCTAGGCCTCCACCACGACCAGAACCCCGGGGCTGGCTAAGAAAAGAATAACCACTCGGGCAAAGCTCAATCAGACCAGAATAATCAGAATTTTGCTGCCAAACTTCAGTCAGAAACAGAAAATCCAGGTTTTTAGAGACAATTAGATCATTGAGCCGGAAGGACTTATCGTTTACAGAGTGGGTGTTTAATAGAGCCATGCTGAGTGAGGTGGAGGAATCAGAAACTACAGAAACAGCTGGAGTTAGTGGACATAAATTAGCAGGGTTAGATCCACGGTGTTTATAAAAACCATTTATGGAGGGAACAGGAGGAGAAACCACTGAGGAATGAGGATAAACCGACCTTAAAAAACTTGGACGGATGAACTGTGTCCCAACACGGCCTAGCGGGAATGCAGAAGTGGCGCTCAGGTCACCAAACAAAGGACAAGAAGCTGGAAGATCGCGCCGATGTTTACCAAATAAACCACACTTTAAGAGAAGTCTTGTTCTCACCTGGATTCCTGCTCGTTTACCTCTTTTCCTCCGACGTTTTCCCGGGACCGGACAAACATCGCTCGAGGTGCGCAGCTCTGGATCGTCAATTGCTTCCGGGCCAGCGCGCCGCTCAGGTAAACAAACAGGATGGTAAATCCTCGGTGCATCTTGGGCGATCGTGAACGAACGGAAGGACAAAAGAGTCTGGCGATCATAGGAGATGGTAGCAGAGACACTACTGAAGAGGATCGCAGACAGGAGCAAGGTGGAAAAGAGGAGGTTAGTGGAGAAAAGTTTGCCGGTGACCGCGGCGAAGCCAAGCACAGGCGCCATCTTGCCGACCGGAAGGAGGAGTACTCACCCCGACACACAACATCTACAGGATGCAATTACAGAGCATTTTTGGAGAAGTTTGTATTGGACTGAGGATTTTTTGCACACTACCTGTGACTGTTGCTGGGGGTGAACGGGCTTTTAGCAAACTGAAACTGGTGAAAAATTATTTGAGATCAACAATGTCCCAGGATAGACTGAACAGCCCTAGCTCTTCTTTCTATTGAAAGCCAATTAGCCAAAGGATTGGACTTTAAAGATCTCATAAGTGATTTTGCTAACATGAAGACCCATCAGTGGGCATTTACTGGAAAATAAATCCCAGGATTTTTGTTTGAACACATTGTTGGCAAATAAAAATAATTATATGTGAAGTCTGGGCATTTCACTTTTATTATGCTGGCATTTGTATTTGCTCAAAATAGAGGTTAAACTAAGATCATATTTATTATCTTGTCTTATAGCATGACAAAAAATGTGTAAGAGAGATGTTAAACAATTGAGCATGGGGCCCACCTAGAAGACTTGTACCTAGGGCCCAGAATTTGGTGCTACGCCCCTGCGAGCATCTCTCTTTTTCTGTGATTTTACAGAAAAACAGGCAATCACAGTAAAAATGCCAGGGCTCATTCTACAGGACCAGGGCATTGCAGGAGAATGTATGAAGAAGAAATGTATTATTTCTATACATGTTATGGCTGTCAGACTTCCGTAATGCCCCTGGAAAACAATGGTGTATTTAGATTTTACCAAATATATATAAAATACAAAAAACATTACGTTTTAAAACGAGTCAGTCTTTTTGGTGACTCTTTGATAAGAACAGATTCAGATCCCGTATAGTTTGGTCTGGAACCGTTTATTTAGTCTATTTTTATACACAGATGACTGATTCATAAAATATTCAGTTCAGTGTACATCTCTTGTCGTTTCCCAAAGCCGGGCTCTGATTGGCTGGTCAAACTGTAAGATCGATTGTGATTGGCCTTCGTTTCTTCCGTTTGACTATTGGAGTCTGCGCAGTAAACGCAGCGCTGAAATTCAAATTTGAACCGAAGCAGTTGTGTGTTGCAGAGAAGAGACCCTGAGAGGAGAGCAGCCAGGAGCTTTTCAGCTCATTTACGTTCTGTTTTTGTTCACGTTTAATAAACAGTACGTGTTTAAAACAGCCCAAGAAAGCCAATCGTCCAAAATGGACCCTTTTACTGAGGTGAGTAACTCAGTAAACCCGATAAACAAGCTAAGCTAACGCCGCTGGATAGAAAAGAGGTGTATTTATTTGTTACCTGTTCAACATGCTAAGTTATCGTTTCCTGAATAGCAGAAGGCAGTTCGCTTACTTTCACCAGGATGCTGTGATCAGCGGTGTCAAAGCTAGAAGAAGAACCTTACGGCATCGATTATAAAGTTATCTTAAACTAGCCGCAGTTAAAACGTGCCACGCGTCGTCGGCCGTCAAAACGCACGAATCGATTATATTTGGCGTAATTAAACTTTTAAATGTTAATAGTTTATGAAACTCATAACTTATTCGGCAAAAACAGAAAATATACAGGAATGTTAGAAACGTTCCCAAACAGAAGCACTCATCTATTTAAGGTCAAGACCGGAAGTGATCTGGGTGCTGTTTGGTGCTAGATTGTTCCGTTTTATTCACTTTTTGCTGATTAACGTTAGAGAATGGTCAAAGTGCAGTAAAGGGGGTTGGAGTAGAAACCAGGACATGGTTTAATGTGTTTGTGGCTCCAGTCTCCAGGAGAGTCTGAGCTTCAGTTCAAATCCAGGATCCTGAGCAGGCGTGGCTCATTCCTGGAGAATGCTGCTAAAACCTGGGATAGTCAGATTTTCCACCCAGCTCAGAGAAAACACAGAGGCCTGCAGGAACAGGCAGGAATGTGCTGGGGCTTGCACAGGACAGTAAATCAGGCTGTGACAGGCTGCAGAACAGAGCGTTTGTCAGTGGCTCGGTCTTCTGCTTCTGTGAGTTAAAGATGGCCAGATGGTTCTCTGTTGACCACAACAAGACTTAAAATGTTTGGGTCATTAACATATGGTAGAGGATTAAGGCTGCTGAAAAGAAAAGGAATTCTGAGATTTATGTAAAATTAACAGCATTAGCAACTCCACCACACAGCAGAATTCCTCCAGGCTTGTGTTGTTTGTGGAGATAAAACATCAATGTTGGAAAGCAAACAAAATCAGTGGTAAAGTCGCATTGCAGTTATCCAATCCGAGGCAAGATGTCCAAATATCAGGAAATCCAAATCCTGCCGTCTGGACCTCAGCTCTGATGTGGCTCACTACGGGCACTGGTGCCCCCCCCCCCCCCCCCCCCCCCCCGAATATGACTTACATGGCATTCATGCCTACTAGAGAGCAATGCAAATGTATTGCTTAAACAAGTTAACCACATCTTTAAGGAGGAAAGTATACAACACCTTTCAATACTAAGACTTTACCTTTTAAATATATCTAAAAACAGCCATATTTGACCAAAGTGTAGAAGCGTAATCGGCTGAAAAGGCCTGCAACTGTCACGATCGCTGACCCCATCAGTGGAGTCGGAATAGTTTTGTTTCACTTTAATCATTATAAAAGGATCTCTCCGCTGCTACTGGTCACTCATCCAGAAACGCTCCTAGTCTGCTGACGTCAGAGGCTTTTGGGTCTGAACTCACCAAGGCTAAGTGCTAATTCTTGCTAGCAATAACAGTTGGGCTCTTACATTCAAAATGGTGTCAGTCCTCTGGAGCTGAATTAGTGCACCTCTTCCTAAAATACATGTTTGTGATTAAATCTATGTTCTGTGGCTCTAGAAACTGCTGGAGCGGACTCGCGCCCGCAGAGAGAACCTGCAGAAGAAGCTGGCAGAGAGACCCAATGCTGCCAGCAGGCTGATGGTGAAGCGGTCCAGAGAACCTCTGACCGACACAAACAGTGTGATCAGCGGCGATGCTGCGAACGGTGAGACAGGATCTGATGGACTTCCTGTTCCATCTGTTTGGTGTGTTCTGGGTTTGCTAATCCATTCTGATCATTTCTCCAGTTCCACAGGTGTCCTCCAAGCCTTCTCCTTCGAAACGCAGGTGCTCAGAGGAAAATGCTCAGCCCTCAGCAGATGAGAACCAAGAACCAGCTGTGGCTCCTTTGCCCTTAGATCCTCCCACAGATAAGAAACCCCCAGTGGGTCCCACCAGCACTCGACTGTCCTCCTGCTCTGAGAGGACTTGTACTCCGCCTGTAGTCCACTGTCAGCAGACAGCTGCACAGTCAGAGCCAGAGAAGATGATCATCCATCCTGACCCTGATCCTCCAAACATCAGAGAAACTCCAGCTGGTTCTGGCCAGCAGAAGGAGGAAGTGGATGCGCTGGTTTCTGGTGCTGCTGGCATGAAATCCCGCTTTCAGAGGCTGGCGGAGCAGAGGAAATGTTGGGATGGTGAAGGTAAGAGTGATTCATGTTGATGACGGCCATATTGTTTGTTTACCACAGTAAACATGAGGGTAAACATCTAAACGAACCTGCTGTTGGTTTAAAAACCAAAGGTGCTCCGTTTCAGATCAAATGCTGGGATGAAAACATCAGACTGACCCTGTTGGTGCCTGACGGTCTCGACTGGCTGGGTTGGGTCAGCTGATGTAGTGCTGGTTCTCATTAGGTCAGAATGATCTGAACTGGACCTCCTGCTGCTTTTGCAGGTGCTGCTAATGTTGTCCCAGACTGCACGTCCATGCTGAGGAGACAAGCAGATGTCCAGCCGCCACCTCCTGCCCTCTCCTCTTCCTCTGAGGCTCCTGTTGGGCGGAGAGGCAGACTGGCCAACCTGGCTGCCACCATCGGATCCTGGGAAGACGATCTGAGCCACGCCAGTGTCCGCAGAGAGAATCTCAGCACACGCCCCAGTCCCAGGCTGGCTGCCAAAGTGTCCTCTGTGGCTTCCAGCACAGAAGTGACCAGTTCAGCAGCAAGCAGCAAGTCCAGCACCAATCAGGTGGGTCCTTCTGGTTCTGCTCCAGAGGAACTGGAACCACCTCACAGCTAAAGATCGACTGATTCGTAGAGGTCAGGGTCAGCCGATACGCGCCTTACCTTCATGCTAAAATGTCACCAAGCTGAACCTGAATCAGTTTTTGGACATAAAATTTAACCAACCGTTGAATCGTAATCTCAGCTTTAAAATCATTTAACCACAGTAAATCCAACAAATGAATAAACAAACCATTGATTAAATATAAAACGTAAATAAAAATATCAGTGGACAATAATGTTTTAAAGCTGCTTTCCGGAGTTTTCCCCTTTCAGAAATGATGTATGATTTTTCAGAAATACGTTAAAGTGATTATCTCATCATGTACCGTGATCAAATGTAAGTAATACGTCTTTTTATTTATTTTTGTTTTGCTGAGCACGCCCCCTGCCCCACTGAGCTCCATTCAATAGGGAACAGAGCGCCGACCAGAGCTAACCAATAGCGTTAGACTACCGCTTATTTGCTTCAAATTTAAGGAATACCTCGGTTGATGCAGAGTTGATGAACTTTTCACGGACAAGTAAGTCTCTAAAATATAAATGTATGACAACATGACATGAGACTATTACTCATGAAACAGCGTGTTTTAGCTCCATTTGTCGGCTAAGAAGCTCATTTATAAACAGAAACGTGAAGTCGCGATCTTAAACAGAGGAATAGACTTTTTGTGTGATATGCTTGTCAGCCACTAGATGGTGCCATCAGATAAGAGAAATACTCCGGAAAGAAGCTTTAATGGAAGGACTTCAGCTTCAGCTGTGGTTGCTTAGCAACCATAGCTAGTAAGATGAGAGGAGGAGCTCTACCTCACATCATTAGCTAAGATAGATGGCTACTCTGCGAACAGCTGCGTCTCTAGATGATCTACGACTTGACACCACTTGTCTCTTCTTCTTTAGGAGGTTCTGCATCCTCCCATAAAACCGGGTCGGGTGGGGTTGCCCAGCTCTCAGAAGGCTCCGATCCCTGCATCCAGACCTGGACTTGAACCTGGGTCTGGGCCCGGTCCTCAGAAGACCTCCGTCCCCCCAAGCCCCCTGAAGAACCAGGCCCTCCCCAGGAACCCAAACCCCACCCCTACTACCCCAAAACCAGGACTCAGTGGCAAGCCAACCATCTCCAGCTCCGTGGTCCACCAGGAGAAGGCTGGAGGTTCTGGTGAGCTAGTCCATGTCCTCAGTCCCACAAACACGTGAAGCCCGATAGAAACAACAGTCTAACATCTTTTTTGTGTCTTTGCTCTACAACAGATGTGAAGTCCTTCCTGGAGCGCTTTGGAGAACGGTGTCAGGAGCGGAACACCCCATCCAAGAACCCCCCGGGGACTCCTTCAGTCACACCCAACACCAAGCTGGTCCAGGAGAGGCTCCGAGCCGCTCAGGCTGCTAGCACCACCACCGCAGAGCTAGCTCAGAGGCACCGATGGGTGGGTCCAACTGTGCCGGTACCGGGTCTTCAGCCTCCTGACATCAGACTAAAACAAACCTGTGTTTACAGGAGCGGGAGTCTGAGCTGGCCCAGATTCGCAGCCGCTGCCAGAAGGGAACCAATGTTTGGAAAACCCCGGCTGAGGAGACGAGAACCCGGACCAACACGGAGAACGAGGTTCTGATTAGTTTCACTTTGTTACACCGGCTGGTCCAGAACATTCAGTTTTGTCTGACCTGGTTTCAGCAGAACCTTTGACCACAGCTGAAGATTTAAAGAACTTTTCCTTTTTTTCCAGGAAAAAGTGGTGAAGCCTGTGGAGAGGGACGCTGTTGCACCAGAACCACAGCCAGCAGCACCGGACCAACCAGAACCACCATGTGAAAAGTCTCCACCAGGTACTGGTTAGTGCAGAAGATGGTGTGTGTGTGTGTGATAATAGTCTTTATTGTCGCTCTTCAAACTCGTCCAGCTTCAGCAGCATCAGGAGGTCCTACCAGGATCTTTACTCCTCCCGCCTCCACGTCTAGCCCTCTGAAGGCCGGCGGCCATGTTGTGGAGAAGCTGACCGATGAAACCCCTGAGGAGGAGAAGGAGCAGAACGTGGACCAATCCATCAACTCTGCTGTTATCAGCGAGCTGTTTGATGGAGTCCTGGAGCAGAGTGATGAAGATGAGGAGGAAGATGCTTTGAATATCTCCTCCATGTCGATCCTCACTCCCCTGGCGGAGACGGTAGCTGCTGTGGTGAAGAGTCCAGAGCGGGGGATGATGGTGAGTTTGGATCTTCCTCTTTTCTGTGAGCACCGAGTCAGCTGAACCAAGGCCTGTGTCATGGCTCTGTGCAGACCTCGACTCCAGCCAGCTCCTTTATGGTGAAGAACGCTCCAGAAAACATCTCCAAACCAGGAAAGTTCCAGAGAGCTGCCGTCCGTACCTCCTCCTCCTCCAACAGCGACGGCACGGATGAGGACAGTAGGCTGCCTTACAGGTAGGAGCTCTCTGTGTGGTGGTTCTGTTCGGTTCTGTGACCGGGTCTGAGCGTGGATCTGTTGTGTGTCAGCATCGACGCCTACAGGTCCGTCCGGGTGAAGGAGGCCGACCGACCCAGTGTGAAGCAGGTCATTGTGAGGAAAGAAGACGTTTCTCAGAGAGCAGAGGAGCCAAGAGGAGCTTCTGCCTTCAGCATCAAACAGAGGATGAAGGTCTGTCAGATCAGAGTTAAGGTTGGTTTATGCGTGACGCGTCCGCGAGGTTCGCTCGGCTCCGCGCGGCGAAATTGCATCAATTTAACATCCACGCCCCTCCACCGCGCCTCCGCACGGCCCAAAATTTCCGCAACGCGCACCTAGGAAATTTTCTAACCACGCGGACAGACGGAAGCGGAAAAACATGACGGACTGGCAAGAACTAGTATGGCAGAGGTTCGTAAATACAGACATTTGTATGATTCAGCTCTCAGAGATCACCGTGATCAACATGTTGTTCATAATTCTTGGAGAGAAATAGCTCGCACTGTCGGAAAAGACGAGGACGCTGTTAAAAAATGCTGGAATGCCATGTTGTAAACAGTAATTTCTACTTCCACTATGGTGTAGTGTTGGATGCATGTCGTAGAGCTCCATGCTGCCCCCTGCAGTTTGGGAGAATATTGGCTCACCGCAGAGACAAGCAGCATGAACCATAAACGCTGGAAGTTGTGAAGCGCGTTCCAGCCGCGAGCCGCATCACCGCGCGGAAAGTAAATGTGTCAAGCATAAATCAAGCCTAAGGTCTCCAGTTAGGACTGAGGAGCTTTGGGGTTTGGAGAATCTAAACCAGCTCCTCACTGGGCTTCGGCTCTGCCAGAGATTTTGGTACAGGTTCCACCTCTGGTTGGGTCTCAGCGCTGAACCTGCATCTCACTGATGAGCTGTTATAAACATGCTGAATAGTCTGTTTATCCTCCCATGTTCATGTTGCCACGATGTTCCCAGTTTAACAATAGCTCCGTTTTTAGATTCTGGCCAATGAGATTAACCTGCAGCAGACCGTCATCCATCAGGCCAGCCAGGCCCTCAACTGCTGCACGGATGAAGAGCACGGGAAAGGCTCGCAGGTGGAGGCGGAGGCCGAGAGGCTGCTGCTGGTGGCCAGTGAGTCCAAACTCTCCTAACAGGCACACGGGTTGATTAGTGGAACGTTAAGGAAAAGCATCAACATGAGCTGCATTTGACATCATGTGTAAACATCTAGCCAGCAGGAACTGAACTCTGACCTGCAATGTTCTTTGCTCCTCAGCGGAGAAGAGAGAAGCCTTGAGTGCTGAGCTGGACCGTCTGAGAGCAAACCCAGCAGCTCAGAGAAGACCTCCTCCAGCAGCTACAGAACCTGCTGCTGTGTCTGCATCCAAAGGCTCCATCAGCCTGCAGGACCTCCGCCTGCCGTTGAAGGCAGACTTTGTCTGTTCCACGGCCAACAAACCAGGTAGAGCCTCGGTGCAGAACGTGCTGGTGGTGGGGGGTGTCTCTCTGCTGCTAGGACCTGGTGAGCATCAGAGAGGGAGCAGCTCCACAGAGGCCTAGCCTAGCTTCAGGGTTCCACCAGATGTCTACCTTTGACGTAGTTGATCGCAGCATCCTGAAGATCTAGTCTGGTCTGGCTCCAGAAGGATTCACATTTCTGACAGAACGAGAACAGATTAGGTCCTCCGTTGAGGAGCTGACCTGTAGGGAACCACAGGGTTCTGTTCTGGGAGCTGTACTTTTCACTGAGACGTTCCCTGGTGTGTTTTATCATCTGCAGGACTCCAGATTGAGACAATATTGGTCACAAATGCGATCAAATTTCTCAACGGTGCACCTGAACAAAATGCTGGGTGCACTGATGCGACTGGTCGCTCTTGGAAAAAAAAGTCTGAGGCTGAAAATCTCCTCGTGGTTCAACACCAGACACACGTCAGACCCTTAAGCTTGGTTTATGCTTGACGCATTCACTTTCCGCTTGGTGATGCGGCTCGCGGATGGAACGCGCTTCACAACTCGCAGCGTTTATGGTTCGTGCGGCTCGTCTCTGCGGTGAGCCAATATTCTCCCAAACTGTAGGGGGCAGCATGGAGCTCTACGACATGCATCCAACACTACACCATAGTAGAAGTAGAAATTACTGTTTACAACATGGCATTCCAGCATTTTCAACAGCGTCCTCGTCTTTTCCGACAGTGCGAGCTATTTCTCTCCAAGAATTATTAACAACATGTTGATCTCGGTGATCTCTGAGAGCTGAATCATACAAATGTCTGTATTTACGAACCTCTGCCGTGCCGGTCCGCCATGTTTTTCCGCGTCCGACCGTCCGCGTGGTTAGAAATTTTCCGAGGTGCGCGTTGCGGAAATCTTGGGCCGTGCGGAGACGCGGTGGAGGGGCGTGGTTGTTAAAATGACGCAACTTTTCCGCGCGGAGCCGTGCGGACCTCGCGGACGCGTCACGCATAAACCAACCTTAAAAGGGGTCTAAATGTTTATTAGAGGAACAGATTTTTTCCAACTCTGTTGCCTAAATGAGCAGTGGTTCTAATGAAATGAGCCTTCTAAGTTGAACGTGATGCAGTGTTGTGTGCACCTGAGAAAGCACATTAGAGCCCGGCCCTGGCGGTCCTACAGCGGTCTGTTAGTTTATATTTTCATGGTGAAGCTCGTTGGACCCTCTTCCCTGGTCTCCTGTTGGGCTGATGTTCCTGAGTTTCACCAGAACGTCTCTGATCGTTTCAGAGTCCACCAAACACTCGTTCTTCATCCTGATCCGAGCTGGACCCGAGAACCTGGTGGCCACTCCGTTGGCTAGCACGCACCGCGGCCTGAATGGAGACACGCTCGCGTTCCCCACCAGCTTCAGCCTGTGAGTCACCATACCTGCTGGCGCGCGCGCACACACACACACACACACACCTTTGATGTGTCTCAGCGACTGTGACCTGGTCAGCTAATTCTGATGAGACCGTTTTGTGTTTCAGCTCTGATGTCTCCAGTGACTTTAAGATCCAGTTAGAAGTTTACGCTTTGGTGAGTCTCGCTGACAGCAGGAACACACCTGAACACTCATGAAGGACCTGCTGCTTCAAACTTATCATAAATATCTCCTGAACCCGATGAAACTCGACAGTAATGGTTGGTTTAATAATGTAATGGCGCATCTGCAACCATCAACCCACACTAGTAACCAGACCGCTCGTCTTCTGCTGTTGGAAGAGGGTCCACTCCCCCACCCCATCCACGTGTTAGCCCTGGTGGTGCTTACCTGTCTCACCTGAATTATCGCAGCAACAGCAGATTTTAAAAGAGGAGTAGAAGTAATTTCTGCGCCCCCTTGTGGACACATTGTACAGCTGCTACTGCAGCACTCTGCTGTCGCCCTCAAACCCGGTGTTTCCTTGTGACGTTTTCAGTGTTTGTGACGGAGTGATCCAACCCACAGGTTCAGAAACGCGAGAGCTGCAGCGACAAGAAGAAGAAACCCAGCAAGTCCAAGGTACCATCTGTGTGTGTTTACTTGTTAGGAGGCTGTGAGATCATCAGAATGACTAAAGTGTGTGTGTGCGTGCGCGCGCGTGTGTGTGTCCAGACAATCTGGAGGCAGGTTTATGAGGCCTGTATGTCGGTATGAGCGGTTGTTTCTGTTCCACGGTTGTTGGTGGGGGTGCAGTGGGGTTTTTACCCAGCAACCAGAGGCTGATGAGACAGGTGTGATGAGGTTCTTCCTGTTGATTCCAGGTTCCTTACATCAGCGCTGCTTAGGACAAGGATGGCATGTTTCTGTTCATTTCAGATGTTAGTTTAACTGAAGCTTCTAACAAATCAGTCGCACAAAGAAACCAGAGACAGGCACCAGTCTACCCCCCAAAACACCCTGGAGTCTGGTTCCAGCACAAGTTGTATGCCCCGCCCCTTTCCATTTATAACGAAAGCACGTTTTTCTGATTGAGAACCATCCACCTGCTGCTGAACACTCGTGTTTCTACCAGCTGTCGTTTGTAAATGATGCAGAACTCAGGGGAATATATAAGTTCATTTAACCCATCATAGCTTTGAATAATGTTTTTAAAGGAGGTGTTATATTCGTATATGTCCTCTTTGTATCTTCATCGGTGACCCTCGTGGTGTGTGAGGATCCACACGTCTAACCATGTAGCTTAGATTCACCATGTCACCGGCTCCGCCGCCGGTTTTCCTTTAAGATGTTCTTTCACCGGGGTCAGGCTTTGCTTAAAGTTCTGAATATCTTCCATCAAGCGTAGACCCTGTTTATTTTCTCTTAAGCAAGCTTTATGAAGTGGTCTAATTTAATCTGACTTGTGTTATTGAGTTGGTTTACATGCTGTAAGAGAAAACTTACTAAATACAGTCAGTCTTTAGAAATGAGCTAAGGCTTCCAAACCAAAGCTCTGCGTGTAAACAACATCCCAGTTTCGCTTGGCCACTCCCCCTTCAGGAAGTGACGAGACCATGGAAGCAGGCTTCTGATTAAATCGTCTTCATCAGACTCGGCGTGAATCTGACTCGACATCACACAGGTAGCTTATAAAGCTAGAATAGCCACAGCAGTAACGGGCTAGCCACTCTCCACTTTAGCATCAGCAGGTTTAGCATTGGCCTGAACAGTTTAGGTTTGGCCAATCACAGCACTTTATGTCTGGGTGGGCTTGGCGCCTGAGCTGTCGCTGAGGAAAAACAATGAAGATTGAACTGCACTGTCCGTAGGGTTGGGCATCGTTTGATTTTGAACGATTCCGATTCCAATTCCTCGTTTCTATTCCGATTCCCGATTCTTTCAAGACATGACCTGTTTTACCTGAGCCAGCTAACCACAGGTCCTACTTGATGAAATAATCTCAACTTCAACATGAATTTTAATTCTATGAACAATAACATCACCTTCATTTAGACAAAAACATGTTTTGGAGACAAAAAGAAGACGACTTGCAGCACAACCAGTGTGTTTGTTTCTGACCACAACCAAAGTGTGGAAGAAGCCTCTGGGATGAGAGTCTAAATGTCTCCAACATATCCAGAAACGTGTAGCTGTTTTCAGCTAAAACTCTCACGATGATCATGTCCAGGATGACCGAGAGCTACACCTCCATGCTGCAGCAGCGTTCAGTCAGAACAGGAAGTGAAACCTAAACGTAGTTGCTGTCAGTAACAATCTAACAGATTTAAACATTAAAACTCAACAGAAATAGTTCAAAAGGAAATAAAAAGTGTTATTTATTATTATTTATTGTGACAGAAGCTGGTGTGGTCCACCACAGAGAAGCTTCTCTAGCATGATGACTTTAATTATTCTACAGGTTATTGTTCAGCCTTCTGACGCACACACACACACGAGTGTTGGTGAGCAGCTGCGTCTGACTGCTGACGCTCCGTGTGTGTTTTAATTTCTACTGTGAGACAAATTCAGCTCACACCGTCCAGAGTTTGTTCTTTTAAGCTTCTATTAAATCTACCGTGTTGAAGTATTTAAACAACTTTCCTCTACGCTACAGAAATTAAAGTTTACATCACGGAGTAAAAGTTCGGCAGACACGTTTGTTTATATCTGGGGGAGGGGAGGGGGGACTCGGTGCTGCACACAGACAGCTGGTGTGATCAGCTCTGAAAAGCATTGATCACAATTTGCAGATCACGTTTATTTTTCACGGAGATCGGCCGCGGATTCCTCCTCCGTCTGCATACTAGGTATGGAAACTAGGAATCAATTAAAAAAAAACACTTTTGAACGATTCCGGGAAACACTAGCAGTTGGAACCGGTTCCAATCGATGCCCAACCCTAAACTGTGTTGGGTGGGATTCCTGTTTTAGGATGTGAAGGAGCACACGTCTGGTCTCAGAGGAAAAATAAATGCTCTGTGCTTTTATCTTGGTAGGCCATCACCCCAAAGAGATTCCTCGCCATCACAGTAAGTTTTATTTTATATTCTCAGGAACCCATCGGGATGTAATGTAACCATCTTTTTTTTTTACCTTCTCCCACAGAAAAGCGCTCAGACTCCCGGTAAGTGTTCACAGCTTCAGCTGAGCCCCGTCAGCCAAGTCAGCCCCCCACTGACCGTTTCTATTTCTTCAGTAGTGGCCAGTCCTGGAGGTCCACACGCTGTTCGGACCAGTAACTTTGTTCTGGTCGGATCTCACGCGCTCACTCTGTCGTCTATTGGGAAGGGCAAGTTTCCTCTGGATAAGGTACGGTGATAGTTCTTAGCTGCTGGTGTCTTTGAGCTTTGCTCCTCCTTCCTGCTTGCTGCCGGTTGGGGGGGGGGGGTACTATCACAGGAACTTCATCTGATCACAGATCTGTCCTTTAGAACACTCTTCATCTCTAATCTGTTTATCACCTTTCGGACTCTCTGACACCAGTTTTACTAAAGCGCCCCCTCTCTGGTCACAGGTGCCCTTCCTCTGCCCCCTGGAGGGCCACATCCACCTGAAGATGCAGTGTGAAGTGGGATCGAAGGTGGAGGAGAGGGGCTTCTTGGTGAGTAGCAGAAGAAATCTGACCTGGAGCTCCTGGATGCACAGACCTGCTCAGACCTTTAGTTGCTGTTGTCACAGACGATGTTTGAAGACGTGAGTGGGTTTGGAGCGTGGCACAGAAGATGGTGTGTGCTGTCGGGCTACTGCGTCTCCTATTGGACGTACCCAGATGATGAAAAGAGGAAGGTAATTAGTCCCCAGGTTTGTGTTTTTGTTCTGAACCTCAGAACGTTGGTCTGATGTTTGGAGATGCAGACAAGTTTTACTTCTTAGAAGGCTGGTGCTGATGATGGCTCTGCTGCCTCACAGCCAGAAGGACGTCTGCAGATGTGTTGCAGGGTTTTAGTCGTCACCTTTTTCACACCTTCCAAGTTTGCAGGTCTCAGGTTCAAATCCCGGCTGTAGCCTTTAGTGTGGGGTCAGCACAAATCTAGACCTTTCAGGCCCAACTTCCTGTTCTTCTGGACTGGAATGACTCTCTGCTCATCAGAGGAGCCCTTTGGTCACATCTCCAGTAAGCAGGTCCTGATGACATATCCGTTTTCTACCAGAACCCCATTGGTCGGCTCAGCCTAACCAACTGCACCAGTAAGAAGGTGGAACCAGCCAACAGGGAGTTCTGTGCCAGACCGAACACTTTCGAACTCATCACGGTCCGACCCCAGCAGAAGGACGACAGAGAGACTCTAGTCAGTCAGTGTCTGAACACCATGTGTGTCACCAAGTAGGTTCCTCCCAGTTCTGCTCACCCAGCCGCCGTTTGGGTCGGTGGTTCTGTGAATAACGTCCACTTGTTCTGCGTACAGGAACTGGCTGAGCGCTGACACCAAGGAGGAGAGGAATCTGTGGATGAGGAAGCTGAACCAGATCCTGGTGGACCTGCGGATGTGGCAGCCCGACGCGTGCTACCAGCCGCTCTGATCACGCCCAGACCTTTGGGTCGGGTCGTTAGTGACCCGCAGCTACCGAGTGCAATAGTCAGACACGTCCCTCTGCTGGATGTTTGTTAGATCAGAGGAGAACTAAGCCATGAATCTGAGACATTTCACGGCAGCATTTTGTTTGCTTCATATATTTTCAACATTTTGAGTTTTGTTATACAAAAACGTCACAGCGGTGAGGTTTATCACTTTAATGACGGGTGGAGCGTCGCTCTTCCTAATCCAGTGTAAGTGTTGAGATTCAGGTTGTCTACTAAAAATTTATCACATTTTACCCTGCATGCTGCTGTCGTAATGCTTTCTGTACTTTTCTACCTTGAGGCACAAGTCTTTCACATTCAGACATCTGAGGCCGATTATACTCCAGACTTTATTTTATTATTGTCCTGCGTTTTTGTTTGAATGTGAGTGGGGAGGGGAGTCTGTTAAATGCTCTCAAATCCGACCAACGCTAAACAAAATCCTCTGATTCTATTTATTTCCTTCAACATTAGTTGGAACACAGCTAGATCCGCTTGTTTGGTGAAGCCGCGGACAGGTGAATGAGCGAGACCTTCAAAATAAAAGCCTTAGGTTTGTTGTCCTGGTTGAGGTTGGAGTATGGAACAGACTGATTTGGATTATGATTTGCTAAAATAAAATGGTGCTTTTTCCACCATTTTGAGAATGATAACAAGTTTAAAGAACAGTGTTTCTGCTGTTTTTATTATATGCTGTTTTTGTTGGGTCAGCAGCTATCCTAGTGGATCATCTGGTACAGATGTCCAAACCCTGGACTCATGCACTAATGTCCTGTATATTTTAGATCAGGAATAGTGAGCTTAAATAAACATTTCCTTTATTTTGAAGTGTGTTTCTGTGTGAACAAATATGAATGAATCCATTCTTACTCATTAGCTTCCTGAACAGCCTCTGTTCAGAGAAACAGAGTTTAGGTCCCTGAAGGGTGGCTTACGCTTGACGCGTCCGTGAGGTCTGCGCGGGGAAATTGCGTCATTTTAACAACCACGCCCCTCCACCGCGCCTCCGCACGGCCCAAAATTTCCGCACCGTGCACCTAGGAAAATTTCTAACCACGTGGACGGTCGGATGCGAAAAAACATGGTGGACCAGCAAGAACTAGTATGGCAGAGATTCGTAAATACAGATTCCACAAAAGGGAAGACAGGTGGAGCTGAGGGTGGGGCTGTAAGGCTGGGATCAACTGATGACACCCGGTCGAACTAGCTACAAGCTAACCCAAAGCTAACACGGAGGTGGGAGCTAAGCTAATGGAGGTAGAAACTTAGCTACAACCAGAGTTAACTGTGCACAACACCAGAGCAGTGTCCAGTTCAGATGGCAATCATTTCTTGAGCGATTTAGCTACATCTGCGATGTGCGTAGAATAAAATGTCAGTTCGTCTGCATGCGTCGGGGTAATTCTTTCTATTCTTTCTCCGTCCAAATAAACGGTCAAATACGGGAACTGTCCGATCAACACAAGCCCTGCTTTTAACTGTTCTGTTTTCTTGTGAAAATTGTTACAAATTAAACTTGATTAACACCAGAGCCAGGCGCACTGCGCCGTTATCTCCGTCGCTGTAAATGAGGGAAAAACAAATTGATCGGATCCTTTTCTGACCTTCCCCACCTACAAAGTTTAATTACAACAATCAAATGTGACAGAGCCTGGATTTGTATTCTGAACGGTCTAAACATGTTTTTTTAAAAAAACGTGTGACAAAAGTGGCACCTGCTCGGTAAAACCACCAACAGGGTGAAAAATATCAAAATATCGTAGGCAGAGACGGGCTACAACTTCTGGATCCATTTTATATAAATCGTTTTATTGATTATCGTCTTATGAAAGATAACTTTGACGTACACGAGCGACCGGTACCGGCTGCTGTCACCTGTTGTGAGCAGCGCTCTGCTTTCTGAGGGTAGGCCCCGCCCACAACGCCCCGGCTGCTGTGGCTCCCAGTGTTTTCTTTACTGTGGGAAACGGGTAATAATGGCTCTTTGATGGGAACAGGTTGCCGACCCCTGGTTTAAGTGTTTCAATTTTTTTTATGAATTCGATTAAAAATAAAGGCGCCCGGCCCGTGTCCGAGGTAATTACACAGTCGTTGGCCCGACCCGAGGGCCTAGGGCTTCGGTGCAGGGCTCTAGTCTGTACTCTGCGAGTGCCAGGAAGAAAAAAAAATTACATCTGATCCTTCTGCCTACTACTAATCATATGCAGTAGAGCTTATTTTTTAAATGAAATCAAGACACCGCTCTCCTATATATTCCTTCTTTTTAAGGTTTTTATACATTTGTTTTGCCATTCTAGTTGTTTTTGCTGTTAATCTGCCATTAGTCTTGCAATATAATTTCCTGTGGTATCTACATAATGAATAAAGGTGACAAAAAAAAGTTTACCTGAAAACGTCTCTGCGACATGTCACAAACATTTAGTTGGTATGTTGTCACAACGTTACAATAGCAATGTTGTCACAATCAGGGCCGGAGGACACATTTTCAGCCCTGGAGTTTCAGACCCCAGACCGGCCCACTTAACGAATTATTATTAAAATCATGTTAGAACTTTATATGTATAGTCTAAAAAAGCACACTACTCGGTAAAGCCTTGTAATTGTAAAGCAAGAAAGAGTTGCTTTACAATGTAGGTTTATTTGAACATCAGTGCACATCTCCAACATTGTTCTTTACAACACATTCTCTAACAATATAACAATCTACCTTCTGTTCAAACAGCTGTTCTGAGATTTTCAAACCTTTAAAATGAAATGACTCAGCACTCCCTTTCACACTTTTTCCAGTTTCCCTAGACTCACCTGCACACAATTAAAATAATCATCTGTAAAGCTTTAGCACATTTAATATGGAAAACACATTTTTTGTAGCCATTTAAAATATTTTCTATGGCAAAATATGCAGGCTTATTTAATTTTACTTTCATTCTAATAGCGATCTGTTGTGGGCTTTGTGCATTTACTAACAGAAATACATCAGGTCACTACTATTATTTGGACATTAAAATTATTATAATGAAACTGATGTTTGCTTGTTTGCACATGAGTTGGCTCACCTAGTCCTTCTATCCCAACAGGAGCAATACCCTCACTGCTGGCTCCTGGCTCTTCTTCTGACACTACATTGTGTGAAAATTGTCACAATTCAGCATTCATTTTCCTTTTTTACACGCTTTCTGATCAATGCTGAATCATCTAGGATTTTAGAACACTTTCATATAGAGCCAGGATAGTTTTCATCATATAAATTTTAATAATATTCAGTTCACTGACTCAATAAGTAATCCTACCTGTACATGTCCGCTCTGGAATTGTGGGTTTCTGCCTGGTGCTTATTAGGCCTACTGGATCTTGTGTTTGACTCTGACAAGACAGTTTGGTGGCATCAGTCACATCATACTGTAAATTATATTACATAACGTTATGTCATGATGCCATATAATTCATTATTGATGCTTAATTAACTTGAATGGTGATTTGCAGCCAGTAAAGTTTAACATCTTGACTTGCCTTACCCGTTTTATCTTCATTTGAAGTTAAAGACTGCGAGCTTGTTTGAGAAAAAAAGGTGCTCATTTTTGCACATTTAGCTGCATCCAGGGCCAGATTAAGACTTCGTTGTACCCTGGGCAACAATATTCAAGGGCCCCATCATCACGACCCAAGGATCACCATAATATGGTCACATACAGAATATTTTACTGTAATATGCAGTAAATATACTGAATGCTTGAATGCCTGACATCACGTAACCCGCCCAGAGTAACCTTTGACCCACCTCGTGTGGACTGACCAATGAGGAGAGGGTCTTAACTTGAGGCCCTCTCTTCATTGGTCAGTCTGCATGAGACTGACTCTCAACTGACGTTTAGTCATAGGCAGCGAAGCGTCTCTGTGCAATGCAAAAGCCCGGGTGGACAGTTTGTTTAGTACAGGGTGATCATATTTCCATTTCCAAACAAGAGGACAGGTGATCTGTGCCTATGACGTCACACTATGGCAACGCCACACAAACCACGCTGGGATCCATTTTTTTGTAAGAACTAAATTAATATCAGATTCTGCCAATAAAAGGGCTCTAAAACAATTCATATGTAAATATTTAGCATATGTATTGCAAAATCTCATTTTTCTGCTTTAGTGCTGCAACAAGGTTTTAATAATAATAAATTATTATACCTTTTGTTTTACTTCAGCATTGGTAAGCTTCCTGTGCACAGATTATTAAGGGTGCTTGTTTCAGCTGTGAGATTAGACGATAGGATCAATGATAAATTAAGTTGTCACACACTCCATGGAAACTTTCAGAGAATCCACAAATAGTGGCTTTCAAATGGTTTTGTTACTTTTTGCAAGTTTAGAAAAGCAGCAGATGAGACAGCATGTCTGATAATTTAGTTTTTCATCTGATAATATTAGAACATGTCAGTAATGTCTGAGGGGCTTTTATAAACACTGTATAACTAACACTACTGGACAGGGTAACAATTACACAGAGGCTTCTGGGGAGCCCAGTTATGGGGTGGGTGGGTGGGTGGGGGGGGGTCATTTTGCCTTGGCCCCCAAAATGTCTTGAAACGGCCCTGGGTGTTTGACTGAGTTTTGAAGGTGATTTGAATTGTATCAGATGTATAAATATGACATGTGTATAACTTATTGTTTTATACAGGTAAAAACTTGTAGTGGAGATAAATCTACCTACATTTTACTTTTCCACACTTAGTTTTGTTTTCTTGTTTTTATTGAACTATTTCCTGTCCTGTCTGTCTCTCATCTTCCTGCGTCTCCTCTAAACTCTCCAGAAAAAACTGCTGCCAGGATTCTTACTTTTTCACCTCATCAGTTACTTTTGAGCAGATCAAATGGATCTCCTGACCGCAAAGCGGAGAGCGCCTTTCGATGCTGCGTCAGTGAGGTGAAATCACCGCAGCACCGCGCAGCACAGGTGATGAACTGCGCAGCAGCAGAGCGCTTCAGGCACAAATAAGACAGAAAATAGAGAATATGTGCGGACATGAACGATCGTGTGCTAATTATGGTTTTTTGGTTGCGCCACTTTGAGAATGGACCGTGCGCTGGACGCAGCTGCCTGGAGCGCTGCGCAAGAACGCGCTGTGCCGCTCTCTGTGCTCTCTGCTCAGAAGAGTCCATAAATGATGTAATATAGATAGAAAACTTGTTTCCGGCTCCCCTGGATGTGTAAGATATACAGCTCCCCCATAATTCGATCCCTGCTCCTGGATGAAAAGCCGGACATTTTCATCAATACGACCGCGGACCCCCAGTCCGGACGCCCGGACAGAGAGTGAAAAGTGGACATGTCCGGGGAAAACCGGACATACGGTCACCCTAGTTTAATATAATGCGGGAGATTACAGACATGCCTACAGTATTTTGCTCGTGCGCTTGCTGCCCTGGGCCCCTTAGAGTTTGTGGGCCCTGGTCAATTGCCCAGTTGCCCATATGGTTAATCCGGCCTTGGCTGCATCTGTTTCCAACGCTTTCCTCTTTTTAATTCTTGCCTTCTCCGCGCCACCCTTGCTCTTTCTACTTTCCATCTTTCCGTCAACTGCGTGGTCACGTGGTGCGCACAGGCGCATACGGGGGGAAAAAACGAGCTGCAGCCTGCAGGTAGAGCCAGCCAGAGACAGCCGGGAGGAGCGTATGTGATCAGCCCGGCGGCCTCAGTGCCATGACTGAACACCGGCACCAAAAAATAAAAATAAAATGATAAAAAACAAAAACGAGAGCACCGGCCCCATGCGGCCCAAACATCGCGCGGCCCACCGGGAATTCTCCAGACCCTCCCGATTAGCCACTCAGGGCCTGGTCTGGTCACAATATCACAGTAAAGTTGTGGATATGTCGCGATGGCGTTCCAGCAATGCCCTGTGTGACGTTCTGACAACGTCGTAGCATTCACTTTGGAAGTCGCTACTACGTAACATACGACGTTCCTGCAACATCACAAGGTGATGCGTTACGACTACGTTGTTGCAACAGACCTGTGTTAGTAGGGCGAGACCTTGAGGCCATATCTCATGCAGACTAGTTTTGTGTCAGAGGAGAGGGGGGAAATGACTTGTGGTGGAAAACAGTCATTTCATACCATTACAGTCGTGTGTGTGGTCCAAGATGGTGCATTTCCAACCACGAATAAAATGCTTACTGTGTATCTTTCTTTTGGGACAGCAGTAACCCAGGAGGTAGAGTGTATTGTCCAGTAATCGGAAGGTTGCAGGTTTAATCCTGGCTCTGACCAGAGAATTCTGCTGTTGTGTCCTTGGGCAAGACCCACCTTGCCTGCTGGTGGTGAGCAGAGGTGCCAGTGCTCGGCAGCCTCACCTCTGTCAGGGCAGCTGTGGCTACATTGTAACTAGATTGCTGATTGCTGCCCCTCCACCAGACCAAGAGGGTGGAGGAGTTTGGGAATGTCCTGTCTGCCCCCAGGTGGAGTGATAATGTGCAGTTTGGAGCCAAGGGACAAAGGACGCTGGTGGGCACCGTATTTGGCTATAACCTGGGCAGGGGCAAGATCTCACTTGCTCCTCTGGCCTGGAGTGAGTGAGGAATAAAGCACAGATGGACACTCGTTGGAGCAGCACAAACATTCCTGTCTGACCTGGACCCAGGACCACAGAGTGGCCAGGGGAGGTTCAAAATAGCCCCTGGGTCAACAGAGCCACAGCGATGGTGCGGGAGCACCTGGAGGAGTGTCCAGTGCTCTGGAGTACCTTGGGGGGGGGGGGGGGGGGGGGGGGGGGAGAAGAGGTCTTTTGGGGTTTTTGTGTGTGTGTGTGTCAGTCACAGCAGGTGACATGGAGGTGGGTTGAGTTGCCACTGTCCTGTGGGGGCCCCTGCTCCACTGGTAAGCCTCGGCTCTAGACTTTTAGTTTTAGATCAGTCTTAAACTGGTTTTTATTTGCCTTAATCTTGTCTTTTTATATTGTGATTATTTTAACATGCTGGAAATGATTCAACATTTTGGGCAAAAATGCACCTACATGCCTCAGTGTAGTTTTGAAACCAATTCCTTGGGTGAAATTCCCAAGGTGGCGTTTTGTTAAAATAAACTTATTCCCTCATGTCTCCACCATGCCACACTTAGGCCACCAAAATTGATCCCATCAACACCTTGGCTGCACCTAGAAGTCCTGTCCATAATGGTTATGAACAGAATCAGTGATAAAGAGCAACCTTGGTGGAGTCCAACCCTCACCGGAAATGCAGACCAAGCGTTGACACCAGTCACATAGGGACCTACCAGCCAGTATCAGAGGGCCTGGTACCTCATAAGCTCAAAGTACCCCCCCCCCCCCCCCCCCCCCCCCCAAAGGACCTCCAGAGGGACGCTGTCTATCACCTTCTCCAAATCCACAAAACATATGTAGATTGGAATGTGTGTGTATATATATATATATATATACACTAGTCATTTAAATTTTATTGTTTAATTTCATTGTATGGTGGCTTGAAAGGCTACCCCCTGAAAAATGAAATAAATTTACACACACTCATTTATACAAGTTATGAGCAAAAAAAAAAAAAAAAAAAGGAAAGTTGATTTTGGTGCTGTTCACAGAAGCTATTTGATTGGATGGGCCCCTAACAGGTACAGCCACGTCCCTGGTACTCGGTGACGCAGTACAGCAGATGTTAATTGTAAATATATCGGGTGGATTTTGTAAAGTTTCTTCTGATGGTGATGCAACAAAACAGTATCTTGCAACAATGTTACTGCAAAATCATAAGAGAACTTCAAAATAAAATATTAGCATAAAATGTTTTACAATATTTTTGAAATTGTGTATGAGCGAATCAGCGAAAAAACATTAATAATTATGTCTGCGGGGTAATCGTAGTTTAAACCATATTTTCTAATTATTTGATAGCGTCTCAAAACGCTTACCGTTTTGTTGTGCTCTTATTTTGAAGAATACATGAGCGGTTCCGGTTCCCCTCAAGTCTGCTTTTCCCTGCGAGCTCCGTTGCATCAGTTTCATAAAGTGAGCAGCTAGCTTTGAGCTCCTGGAAACTGCTTGGTAAGGTAAAACAGGTAAGTTAAAACAAACCGGGATTTGGAGTGAACAATAAGATAATTGACGTTTCAGTGAACTGAATGGGACTAAATTCTCTGGAAGTGGGCGTATATCACGTGTAGTTACACCACAGAGTTCCATCATGAAAACCGCAAATTTCACTTTCTGTTAGATTGTAACGACATGCTCGTTTTAAATACATTATGTTCAACTGTGTATCGTTTTTTGTGGTTCAATTTAAAAGTCTGCAATTGTTTTAATCACTAAGCAGCAACGGGTAACTGATATATTCGTACTTTACTGCTCTGGCTTCGCAGAATACAATGAAGTAGAGGTTTTGAACAATGATGTGCCAGGAAACATTAAAATAGCCTCGTCTGTTTGACCTCGTGTTGATCGCTGGTGCCCGAGGGGATGTTTGCTGTTCACGTATTTAAAACCAATGCTTTAACACGTTACTGTTGTATAAGTATTTGTCAGAGAAGATAATTTATTTAATTAGTTGAGATTTCAATGGAATTTCGCATTGGAGGCAGGCGAATGATGTCAGAACCAGGGCCGGTTCTAGACAGGCATATTTGAGGGGGCAGACAGAGTATGACAGATGGTGTGTTTGTCCAAACACAATTTTTTTTTTCAGAATCCTTATTCTCAGGAATTATTTACAGAGAAAATGAGTTTTTCTGTGCAGGTTCCTTTGAAGGAGTCATCACCTGTTACTACCATGCATATCTACATAAAATAGTATTTTAGGCCATAAAAATAACTTGTATTGGAAAAATAAATTAAAAAGTGCTTTCTTGACTCTTTTTTTTGTAAAGGACACGTTTTCTCGTGAGAGCACATGTGGCATTTTCGCTGTCGGACGTGTTATTTGGAATCGTAGCCTTAAGGTTGGTTTATGCTTGACGCGTCGGCGAGGTCCGCACGGCTCCGCGAGGAGAAGTTGCATCATTTTGCCTCATTTTAACAACCACGCCCCTCCACCGCGTGTCTCTGTACGGCCCAAAGTTTCCGCAACGCGCACCTAGGAAAATTTCTAACCACGCGGACGGTCGGACGCGGAAAAACAGGACGGACCGGCAAGAACTAGTATGGCAGAGGTTCGTAAATACAGACATTTGTATGATTCAGCTCTCAGAGATCACCGTGATCAACATGTTGTTAATGATTCTTGGAGAGAAATAGCTCGCACTGTCGGAAAAGACAAGGACGCTGTTAAAAACTGCTGAAATGCCATGTTGTAAACAGTAATTTCTACTTCTACTATGGTGTAGTGTTGGATGCATGCCGTAGAGCTCCATGCTGCCCCGTTCAGTTTGGGAGAATATTAGCTCACCGCAGACAAGCCGCATGAACCATAAACGCTGCGAGTTGTGAAGCGCGTTCCAGGCGCGAGCCGCATCACCAAGCGGAAAGTGAATGCGTCAAGCATAAAACAAGCTTTAGAGGGCCATTCCCATCTGTACCTGGTCGGCCCTGCCCGGATAGCTCCAGTCGGCCCCAACCTGGCCTGGTTGATTCCACACATCTTTGCTTAGGAATGCAAGGAATGCAGTCAGAGACATTTTCAGCTTCTAGGTAATCAGCATTATAATGAATGATAATGAATTGAGAATGCCTTAAGCCCATGTGGGCTGATTCTACCCACCAATCAGAGGCTTGCTCTAATGGAAGGTGTGAATTTAAGTGGGTGTGTTGGCCCTGGTCAGCCTGAAGCAGACCACCTCAGAAAGGGCTGAAAAACAGTCTCGTTGCACCCTGAAAAAAGGCAGGCCACCAAGATATGTAAGCAAGCTATGCTATCCGGGCTGGGCCGACCAGGTACAGATGGGAATGGCCCATTGGCTAGAAGGGCTCTACTACGATTGACTATTTGATTTAGCAGCAAACCGGCATCTTCCCTTGCTAAGTGCAGACTGTTCTCTTGCCACCTCCACCAACAGCTGTTTTGGGGAGTTTTGTAAAGAACTTGGTGCAGACTTGAATCGGCATCGGCCTTTAAACAAATCATATTGGTCAGCCTCTAGCCAGAACTCGTTTTGGAGTGAGCGTACTCGTGGGGTGCACGTGGGCTGGTTGAAGAAGCCAAGAGAAAACAAAAATGATCCAATGTTAAATATTGACTTTGCAGGGAGTGAACAATCATTAGGAAGCCCCTTATGTACACCTTTTCAGCGCTTTGGGCTTCCTGACAGGGTTGCGGAAGGCGCTTTATAAATAAAGCTTTGATTGATTGATTGATTTTCAAATGGAAAAGTGAAAATTTTAAGTGATGACTCCTTTAAAAATAAGGCTGGAAAAAAGTGAGTCATCATTTTGGGTATTCTCACAAAATCAGTGATTCATCAGTCAGTGATTCATATTTTCTATATTCACCAAAAAATAAAGCCAAATGCCCTGCTCTGATGAACAATATAATGTTTTATCCAAAAACATCTGGTGATTCACACACACACACACACACACACACACACACACACACACACACACACACACACACACACACACACACACACACACACACACACACACACACACACACACAAACTTTCTAGCATACATTTTTTACTTTTTTGTACAACTGTACAGAAAGACAGGCAAAAAGTTAAAAATTCATTAAAAATCTATGCTTTTGTACAGAAATCTCAAGAAGATTGTTTTAACAGAATTTGCGCTACAACTGCTAGCCTAAAAATGTATTTTCGTGAATATAACGCGCAAACCTCTTCATGGAGCTGCGATTTTCGTGACATACGCTCAAGGCTTCCCAGTTAACACAACCTAAAAATCTTAGCCTCTTACATGCAAATAATGATTTTTAGGAAATTTTTCAAATTTGAAATTTAAATGATTATAAACCACGCCCACTTTGATTGGTCATTACCATATTGATATTGTAGTCTTAAGACTCTATGACTACGTTTACATGCAGCCAATATCCGGGTTATGATCGGGTTACGCCGGGGACACGCCGCGGAAGCGCCGCGAAGCGCCGAGAAGCGAATCGCTCACGAAATTCGGCCGCTGCTCGCTGCTCCTCAGTTCAGATCAGACGCGCCCCAGTCGAGGCGCGCCTCGGCTCAGCTGTAGTTTTTCTTTTAAACACTTGGTGTCCTCCATTTCCTCTCTGCCTTTTCTCAGCTCTTTTCCTCTACGTTTGAGTGTGTGTGTGTGTATGTGTATGTGTGTGTGTGTGTGTGTGTGTGTGTGTGTGTGTGTGTGTGTGTGTGTGTGTGTGTGTGTGTGTGAACCTATGGTATGAGTTGTTTCTGCCAGTTGAATCTCTTGGAACCCGCTCCAATTCTGCAGCTGTATCCTAGCAGTTTCATCCAAAATGGGTACGTAAATAACCATGTTTTTCGGGGGGCGTACAGCTCCTTGTGTTTCTCAACTTCCATAATTAATTTAAAGTCATCCATCTTAACTGCTTGCCTCAGACTTTCTGCCTCTCTGTCCTGTTTGCTCCGGTGAAAAGACACCCAAAACCACACACCCCTTCTTGTGGTCACACATGCACACAAGTTCAATGTGTGTGTGTGTTCGTGTGGTTTTTCTGCAGTGTCTGATTACGAACACATTTGACTATTGCGGAATTTTATTTTGAAATGCTTTATTTTGTTAACTTTACCGGCCTGCCTCTTATATCTAGGTTTGACTTCCTGCCAGAATTGACGCGATTCACTCGCGGCTCGCGAAAAAAATAGAGCCGACGCTGAAATGATCGCTGCATGGCGCGGGCTGGAGCGCGAGCTCGCGCCGACGCGAGGCGATTCGCGGCGCTTCGGCGGCCCATGTGGTCTATAGAATAGCTTAACAAGGGCGCCGAATGAAGGCGGTCCCATTTTCGCGGCGCTTCCGTGGCCAGTGTGTCCCCGGCGTTAAGGTCGGCATTCGGGTTTCTGAGTTGATCAGAATAACCCGTTTAAAAGGAAAAATAGAAAGAGTTACCCCTAACTTGCATAACCCGATGTAAATGCGGACGTTGGGGTAGCGTCAGGACGTGTGGACTACGTCAGGACGTGTGGACTACGTCCAGACGCAATATGCGTCATTTCCGGTTCTTCTCGTTCCGATATCCGTGAAAACAACAACATGTTTCCCAGTTCGGAAGAGATAGCGACCGCGTTTGTTTGCGCTTCAGTTTCCTCGTCACTCCGAAAGTGTGGTGCTGTGCCGCGACTCGCCATGTTGCTCCCAACTTGTTGTTTACTTCCGGTGTTCTGGCGCATACAAGACGTCTCGCTACTCAAAAGACCAAGATTCCTTGCGAACAGAGCATGCGCAGAACACACACTTTGATGGGGATATCCCGATATGCGTTTACAAGACCAAACATTCGGGTTAGAAAAGGGTTACATATCCGGGTTTCTGGCGGTGTTTACATGGACCTGCGGAACCGGGTTATTGTGAATATTCGGGTTTCAAAAGGGTTACTGGCTGCATGTAAACGCACTGAATAATGATGACAACCACTAAGTTTCATGCAGATCCATTTAGCCAGTTCAGCAGTATAATTTCTTCCTAGTTATAGCGCCCCCTATTGTTGAATCAAGTTGAAAATCAAGATATACACTTGAATTGACCTTAGGTATGGTGGTTATGAACAGCTTCGAAAAATGTCAAAATATTTTGAAGTTATACTAAAAAAAAACTTTTTCATTCCAAAAAAAATTATTTCAAAAAATCATATAAAAAAGGCAAATTATCCAAAATCCCTTCACATCGTTTGGTCAGCCGTTCCTCCTCTCTTGTCAGGCAAATTTGTGATGTGATTGTGTTTGACGGCCGGGAGGAGTTAACGAAAGTATGTTGGACTTACTATGCAAATTTCTACTAATTTGCATAAGTTTAAAACATTTTTTTAAATACTTGATGGATATAACTGATTTTGACGTCACAGGGTTATTGATGTAACAGTGTAGGTGTTTGTTTAAACACATTTTAGAGTGGTGAAGAATGACCTCTTTGATCACCCTCCTGTGAGACAAGATGAAGGTTCAACAATCTGTTGATT